CCGCGCGTCGCCCGCATGCGCTTCCAGTCCATCCTCATCGACGAGGGCATGCAGTCCACCGAGCCCGAGTGCATGGTGCCCGTCGTGCTCGGCGCGCGCCAGCTCATCCTCGTCGGCGACCACTGCCAGCTGGGGCCCGTCGTCATGTGCAAGAAGGCCGCCAAGGCCGGCCTCAGCCAGAGCCTGTTCGAGCGCCTCGTCGTGCTCGGCATCCGGCCCTTCCGCCTCGAGGTGCAGTACCGCATGCACCCGGAGCTGTCGCGCTTCCCGTCCGACTTCTTCTACGAGGGCTCGCTGCAGAACGGCGTCAGCGCCGAGGAGCGCCGCCTGCACAAGATCGACTTCCCGTGGCCGCGCCCCGACCGCCCGATGTTCTTCTACGTCACGCAGGGCCAGGAGGAGATCGCCGGCTCCGGCACCTCCTACCTGAACCGCACCGAGGCCGCCAACGTCGAGAAGCTCACCACGCGCTTCCTCAAGGTGGGCGTGCGCCCCGAGCAGATCGGCATCATCACGCCCTACGAGGGCCAGCGCTCCTACCTCGTGCAGCACATGCAGTACCAGGGCAGCCTGCACGCCAAGCTGTACCAGGAGATCGAGGTGGCCAGCGTCGACGCCTTCCAGGGCCGCGAGAAGGACATCATCATCATGTCGTGCGTGCGCTCCAACGAGCACCAGGGCATCGGCTTCCTCAGCGACCCGCGCCGCCTCAACGTGGCGCTCACGCGCGCCAAGTACGGGCTCATCGTCGTCGGCAACCCCAAGGTGCTCAGCAAGCAGCCGCTGTGGAACCACCTGCTCGCCTTCTACAAGGAGCGCCGCGTGCTCACCGAGGGCCCGCTGTCCAACCTCAAGGAGTCCGCGATCCAGTTCGCGAAGCCCAAGAAGCTGGTGAACGCGCAGAACCCCGGCTCGCACTTCATGTCCACGTCGATGTTCGACGCGCGCGAGGCCATGGTGCCGGGCTCGGTGTACGACCGCGCGCGGCCGCTGCGCGACCCGCTGGCCTACGTCGGGCCCGAGCGCGCNAAATGTATGTGGGATGGAAACATTGGATTTTTGGATAGATCCAGTTTATTCTGTAACTTAATATTGATACCGTTGGATAGAGCTCGTGAAGCACTTTTAGGATCAGTAACCAGTTTTACGATACCTTCTGTAGTTTTTAATATTATGAGGCTGTACCAAATGTAGGGAAGCCGGAAACATTGAATTTTCGGATAGATCCAGTTTATTCTGTAACCTGTTATTGGTGCCGTTTGAAAGAGCTCGTAAAGCACTTTCAGGATCAGGAACCAGTTTTTCGATATCTTGTATGGTTTAGAAATAATCGAGTGAGATCACTTATCGTTTCCACCCTGTAGAATTCCCGAAGATATAGCTCCATAGTGTTTCTTAGGAACAGCAATAAATGCAATCTGTGGATGACGATAATGGCGGCGTGAAAAAAGGTTCTAAAATCAAGTGGCAGTGGGCGGGGCACACAGCTCGCAGAGCTGATGACCGCTGGGGCAAAAGTTCTCCAGTGGCGACCACGAGCCGCAAGACGAAGTGTGGCCAGGCTCGCACTAGATGGACCGACTATCCGGTGAAGGTCGCGGGAGGTGCCTGGATGCGGGCGGCGCAGGCCCGGTCTTTGTGGAAATCCATGGGGGAGGCCTTTGTCTAGCCGTGGATGTACGAGTATTTGGCTGAAATTAACAAACGCAAAAAGCGGATTTTTCTTATTTCGAGAGCCTAAACTAGTGTACTGTTCGACATTTTAGAAAATTGATACAAGGGCTTTCTGTGTGGGATAAATATGTGTGAGCACTGCCCACATAATCTGTAAGTGGTTGTATTTGAATAATAAAGTCTGAAGATAGAACTTGGATATTTACCTGCTTTGCTCAATTTATGATTGTTGATACTGATAAAAAAATAAACAGTTTAATATCTACCTAATTTGCAGTTGTAACATAAAAATATGCATGCAGCGAAGAAATTATGATACAGAATTTAATTTTTCAAAGCTTAATTTACTCCTTTTTTCATCAGTCTTTTCGTACAACTAAAATAGAAAGATTTACAAAATAATTTCATTCAATAGAAGCTACAAGATAGCTGTTAGTGGGAAAATCAATAAAAGTTAACCTGTAGCTTCTGGTATTGAAATAAATATATATTTTATCTAATCCTAATATAAAGCTAAGTAATCATTAGTTATGTTAAAAAGTTTACCATTAATTGCCAAAAGTAATAAGTATTACCAAAAGAAATGCAGCAAATAAAGTGACTGCACCTGATTTATAAACTTATAACACATAGCATTGAATAATTTATTTATTTCTCAGCCTAGAATACTACTTATACATAGGGCAACTTTACTTTGAGTTGGTACTATGGTCAGTAATAAAAACTACTATTTTTTTAAAAGACAACTTGCAACAAAGTTTACCTATACAAAGTTTAAGAGGAAAATATTCAAACAATTATGTACGGTAGGAAGAAAATAATTAGACATTTGCAATCTCAACCTCTCAACTAAAAAAGTAAATAACAAAAACCTAACCCTTTGATTTTCAGTTTTTCGCCTCGGAAAAACCAATAATAACACTGAATAAAGTTAATAGAACTTACCTAACTTTTCACTGAACGTAGGTTTTCACTGNCGACCCGCTGGCCTACGTCGGGCCCGAGCGCGCCGCGCTGCTGCACGCGCCCGTGCCGCCCGCCGCCTTCGCGCCGCACCGGCCGCCGCCGCGCCCGCGCCGCCGCGCGCCGCGCCTGTCGCAGGAGCCGCTGTCGCAGCAGCCGCCGCTGTCGCTGTCGCAGGGCGCCTCGCAGCCCGACTTCAGCCAGGAGTCGGCGGCGCCCGACTGCCCGTCGCAGCCGGACGGGCTGCTGTCGCAGGACTCCACGTACCAGGGCGGCTTCCGGGCGCGCTGCTCGCAGTACTGAGCGCCGCGCGCACGCGCAGGCCGCCGCCGCCGCCGCCCGGACCGGGCCGCCGCCCGCCGCCACGAGCGCGGGGCCGACACCCACCACCGAGACCGTTCCGAAGAGTTGCAACTTAGAAAATGTGTCACGCACGGCGTCCGTCGCAGCGCGGGCGTCGCCGACGTCGCAGGGGACGCGTAACGATAAATTCACCGTTGTATTGCAAGGATAGAACGTGTAGCGAGTGCGAGTAACGCTAAATTCTAATGAGACGCAGCGGGTGAGCGCCGAATGTGGGGTCGTTGCGACGCTGAATGCGCTCGTTTCGACCGTCGATCGGCACGTTTTCGATTCGACAGCCACGGGCTAAACTCACTGCGAATTTCAGCAATATTTTTTTTAGTTTAATTGTATGGGCTTAAAAATGGACGGATGGATAATACTGTTCCGAAGACCCGCTCACTCCTAATAAAATTTATTCCGATCGCTGAGGATTAAGATAATATAATATCTGATCATTTTTAAGTTTATATAAAATGTTAGTGCATCCTCTAAAATCTAATAAATCTGGAGTAACCGTTAGAAATTACACATTATGCTACTTTTATTTTTACATCAATATAAAATTACACAGTTTAAGCCGTTTTAGTAAACTATTTTAGGCTACATTTATGAGTAACATTCATTATTTCTTTTCATTAAAGGGTGGTTTACGTCATCATCGTAATAAACATTGGCGATATTTTAAATAATGACGCAATGTCCAGTCTAAATTTAGACAAAAACGCAAATTGTTGTTTTTCCTTCTCACATCATAACCATAGGCGAAAGATTGTATGAGCTGATAATTTTAAAAAATAATCGAGGATCTAATAGCATTAAACTCCGAAATAGTGCTGACTACTTTACTAGTATATTTATTATCATCAACTACAGTATTTTTGTAGATTTTTAATATTTTCTTTTTTTCTTCAGTCCAGTCCACTTTGCTTATTTTTCGTCTTAAAATTTAAGTACAAAAGTTTTTTGTAATATGTAATACAGTACCAGTCTATATTTTATATTTTTACTTGATATTCCTAAATATTTTTGATATTGTACACAAAATTTTTAGTCGGCCTATTATGTTTCTATGAAAGAAGTCTGACAACCAGGAAATAATCATTTGTAATGAATTACAAAATTAAGAAGTGTTAAATTTACCAAATTGTATTTGGTTTATGTAACAAAACTATGAGTAAGTGGTAATACGTAACTGCTCTTCAAAGTTTATGCATGCGTTTTTATTGAAAGCTTATTGGACATATGAATATAGTAAATAATCAAATTTATGTACACACTATACATGAAACTATAACACTGTATGTATTGTCTACATAATCGTTAGATACGAAAAACTGTAATAAAGCACTAATTAGTAGTGCTAAACACTGACCCACTAAGCTAAAGTAATAGTACTTGTGTAACTATTTACTTTCGGTTTTAATTACATAAACTATCTTACTGTGTTCCACGAATCTTTCATCGCATAAAATATTGTTTCATAGCCCATAATTATTACCGTGATTCTCTTTTTTTTACCGATGTCTCACTTCATATACATAAAGATCGATCATATTCCAATCATCCTAATCAACAATCGGGCTTCTTTATTATTTATTTGACTCAACTTATCAATCGAACACATTATGTATGCAATTTGTGGGCTATGTATGTAATAAGAAGCTACTTCTACCTGACTTCAATGAACTTATCTATAATGTGAAACAATGTATGAAATTCACTAAATCGTATTCCATTGCCATAATTTCCGTTTTGGTTTTTAAGTTTGTGGAAAAGTGTTATATCAAGCTCATCAAATACTTTTATAGTTTCTTTTGTGAAGGAAAATCAATAAAAGATATTGTCATAATAATTTTGTTTAATTCCATCTAAATATTTCCCTTATTCACTAAGTTAATATACAAATAAAATGTGTAATAACATTTTAGCTTCGGTCCTTAAATTATTAATTACATAATAAGTCTGAGTCATAATAGCATCTGAATTTAAATATAACAGCAAATATTATTTCTCTTAACTAAAAATATTAGTATAAATAAAGGACGGTATAAAATGCTAGATCACTATTAGTACAGATTGAATTTAGAGATTCACAATTTTTATTCGACACGCCATTCATAAAAGGCAAATAATAATATCAAAATATCAATTTGCCACAACCCGCCTTGTGCTATTTTTAATATCATACAATTATACATAGCTGTTAGTATCAAATAGTAATATAAAATGCCAAAAGGTCGAAAATACACGAAATACTGTTATTTACTGAGGTAGAGGGGGTGGTTGTACAGCTGCATACGTAGGGTAGTAAGGAGCAAAGTTATTTGGGCCAGTAATAGCTGTGTAGTTGTTATCACCCTTATCTTGAATCGTGCGAGCTGAGTATGCCGACTCCTTGTACACAGGTTGAGCTGAAACAAAATTGAATTATATTGAGCAAAACTTACGTTATAGAGCTTTTATAGCATTTGTTACAACTTAATATTATATGAGATATGTTTTTTACAGCTTTAGATCGCCATGTAATGAAGTCAAGGCTGGATCATAAAGTACAGATTAAATACGCGAAATAATTGACCTACAGTAAACTGCATGCAAAGATTTCATAGAACAAGTTATACATACAAAGTGTAGGATACAGCGACTGGTAGGGCGGCTGCGCAGGCACCGTTCCAGGCATCACCCACCCTGGCGAAGGATCGCCACTTGGAGCTGACGGAGCCTGTTTAAACAAAAAAATACAGAAATTAATTACCAACTGTTTCAGAACTATTCAAACACATTTTCCAAATAAATCACATTACCTTAGCAGCAAGATAACGTGTTATATCATACGCCTGTCTTTGTCACAAACAAGGTGAAATTACAACCGAGATAGTGCTAAGACAAAACTGTCTATGACTCAGTGCTTGTGTTACCTACAAACACTGTTAGTCTGCCAATCGTGACTAATGTGCCAAGCTCAAAAATACTTGGATGTGTATTACAATATGTATAAAACCGAACCCGCCGATATGAGTCGACTTTTTTTGTAGGCAAGTTAGTCGTCACACGCGGGTTCAAGGATTTGGCAAGCTAGCGTTCTGTGGTCTGCGGTTAGCTCAAAGTGAACGTAGCCCGCATCATGTATGAACAACATTGCGATCAACAGCGATCCGGGTAAAACAATCTGTCAGCGGTCGAAACAAGGCAACCTGTCAGTAGTGGTGCGATTTGCGTTCTTTGCTGACCTGACAGCAGATCGCGGAACGCATCCAGTGTGATAAATAATGACTGAGATTCTTGTCCATTGCCCATTTATTGTCCCGAAGCAGTGGTAGGGTTAACACTGGGACGTGTATAATAGTCTACTTGCAAAAATGAGTTTTAAATCCTTCAAGAGTACAAAATAAAGACGCCAGGTTGTGTGTCCTATAAGTCTTCTTCTTATCGTGTCGATGATGACAAACCTACACAGTGTCAGCCCAAAACTCCGCTACAAGAGTGGCGTTGTCAGCAGCATTCATTAAATCCTCCTGAGTGCAGTTGCTCGGGCGCTCAGGGCACGACGTCATGTGCTTCATCGACTGGGGAAAAAAACCGCACCTGCACTCCATACATGTCCTTTAGGTATACTAACCGTAGGCTGAGCAGGCTGTCCAGGGTCAACCGGTAGCACGGCGGGCTGACTCGGGGAGTATTGGGCGCTGTCGCCGGGGGCCGGCGCGGCCTGCCCCACGCCTACCAGCGGCACCGTACCGATAGTTATGTACTTCTTGTCTCGCATGTTTAGATGCATTTTTGGCACGACACATTCAACCTGTAAAAAGTTTTGTACATTTTCTGTATTTGATACTGATGTCTCCCGCGGCTTCGCCCGCGTAAGTTTCGGTCTGTCATAGAAAGATATAGTATGGGAATAAATAGCTTTATAATGGTAAAATAATTTTTAAAACCAGATTAATAGCTCCAGAAATTGCTTAACCTGTTAATTTAATAGTACAGTAGATTTATAAAACAAGCAAAATTCTTTATTTTGAACGCAGCCATGATCATCAAGGTAAGATTTTCATCATTGATAACAGAATAGAAGGCATTTAAACTGAAGTAACCTTGACTACACGGTCATAGTGTTAATTAGCGGCGGTAAAACAAGGTTTAAAAAGGAACCTCCTAAAAATGTATTAGACAATTTAGGACTCTATGAAAAGTGACATAGTGCTGTGTTTACCTTAAAATCATAGTCCAGATCAATGATGTTACAATTGACGAGATTCGAGGGTGGAATGGGAGGGATTTCAAGCTTTAACTCCCAATGTTTTGTGGTTCCAGCAGGAGCTGGACCTTCTTGCACCATCAAGACAACGTTTTTAACCTTTTTTGTAGCAGTTGACGGCGATGTTGCGCGATATGTCACCACCTTTGAAGAATAAACAAAAAAAAGTATGTAGGGCTGCAGCCAAAAAAATTATATTGAGATCTGTGAAAGAGCCCTAAAATATTGTTTTGACTTTACTAGGAATAAACTCCTCTAAATAATTTTAGGCCGGAAAACAATGTGTAGTTGGTACTTAAGATATTTCAAGCAAATCTTACCTTTCTTAAAAATATCTTTACTAGATGTAGTTGCACATTACTCTTATTTTCAACATCAACCTGTATCGGTATGACTTGTCCAGGGCAGTATCCAGAGACTGGTGCTTGAACATCTACAGACAGTGGGGGAGATGCACAGCAGAAACAGCAGAATGTCTTTTCAATTTGAATGCGGATTGGTTCCTAAGAAAGAAAAATAACTTTAGCAAATAGTGACAGTTCTTAACCATACATACAAGCTTCAAAGAAACCACAAATTGTAATCCTAACAATCTTAAAAATTACTGAGCATTATAATTATTAGTTTTAACAAAAATAATTAAAAAGAACCTTTAATTCTCTTAACATTCCATTACATAAACTTACCCTATATGACGGATTGAGGTTCAGGTCCAAAGCATTAATGACAGTAAATGCCATCTTGGTCTCCTGGTCAAACTTCCATGGTCTGTCAAGTGTGACTTTGACAGTGTATCTGACGTACCCATGTTCCCCCTCAAAGGATGATGGAAGCACAGGAGGCAGGGTGCAAGTGAAGCTGTACACTTGCTTCCCTGAAGGGATTTCTATCTCATTACCTGCAAAATAAATTGTGGTATAATGCTGATGCTATGTTACAAATAAATCTGAAATAAGTCAAATGGTCTGAAATCTGACTTTCTAGTAGTTAAAAAACCCTGAGTCATCATTTTTTATTTATTTAATTAAGTAGTTTCAATTTATCTGTGGTGTTGAAATGTGCATTCCATTCTGAATAGACATAATGAGTGCAATAGGCAATTAAAATATTGCCTCCTAAAACATTGCTTCAAATGTACATGTTTTCAATAAGATAAGCAATTTTGCATGTAAATAGAATAAAACATTAATCCACACAGTTGACACACCATTAATCCGTGCCTCAATATTGTTAAACAATTCAAATAGATGTGTGTGACCCTCAATATTAGTGTATGACATCATTGCTACATCACTATTTTTAGAACTACCACCAATCTTGACATAATCAGAATCAGATTAAACTGTATTCATTTGAACATTTAAAAGAGAATTTATACAATATTTTGAAAAGAGTTAACTTTATTTTAATTTATTTTTACAAATATGTATTCATATTTAAAAAAAAAATTATTACCTGTGTTGCTGCCAAGAAGGTAATAAGAAATTTGGAAGTATTCTTCACTCCCTGAGTGTAGAGTGTCCGTTGATTCTGTTTTTCCTTGAGCATTCTCTTCTTGTTTGCTCTCATACCATTCAGTGTGGGCCTCGCCTTTAAATTTGACATGGATGCCTGCAAAATAATATAGATTTAATTTGTGATACTTTTAATGCTTTTTTAAAATTGTATACATGAATGGTTTAAGTGGGTTCTGTCTACTTAACATAGTTTGGTCTCATAGTTTCAAATAAGTGCAATATGGCCTAAAATTTTATCTCATTGATTTCCTGTAGCAGTTGTTGAAGAACAAGGCATTACTAGAAACAGGACTTAATACTCAACATCCTGTTTCTTTTAATAGTACGCAAGATTTTTTTCGAGACTTTTGGTTAACAACGAGCTAGAACTTAAAAATAAGTGTTAAAACTTCTATGGCCTTAGCCTTTTCTGTTTTGGAGCCGGTTATGGTTTTATCCAAGCAAACATACACTCTAACGACACACTATAAGCTTATGTCCGATGTAACNCAATTCTAAACACAAAAAAAATGCGCTCTTGTGAGCGTAGTAGTAAGGTGCGATTTCGAATGCACCATGTGCGTTGCATATTTTGCATTATTATTATTACCGTTAAAATGTCGACATCTGATCCTACACAAAGGAGTGCAATTTCTGTTGCTACTATTATGTATTCTGTGCTACCTACCTATATTGATTTTATTTTTGTATAATAATAAAGCTCCTCTTTTGTACACACGGCCACACTGTTAACTATCTATTTCCGTTTTTGCTCTCGCTCTCATCAAATGGTGATACTTTGCGATAGAACGAGACGACATGACAGGCAATGGATAGTTAATACTGTTGCCGATGGTACGTAGCTAGTAGTAATATTTTCCACTAGGGGCGCTCGTGTGCACAGTTCGAATCAGTTTGAACACGGTTTGAACCAGTTTGAATGTTTGAATCTCATTTTTTTTTCACGAAAGGTATCGAATATTAACCGCCTTGTAGCACTGGTATTTGCATTAATAAAATTTGTTATGTATCGTTATTTTATATCGGTATTTAATTTGTTATTATAAGTGCGTATCCAAACGTAGCTAGTTTAAAAGCATTATTCAGGATGTGTATCCGAGATTCTTTCTTCTTGATACGCCAGACAAAATGGCGATAGGCAATCTTGTAAGCTCTGTGTTTAATCGAAAATAAAAGACAGTATCTTCAAATAGAAACAACTTTTATTTACGTCTCCAAGGCGGAGACATCACAAAATTGTAGATTGTTCCGTAATAAAAATCATGCAAAATTTATCGATTTCTTTCGTGGAAAAGGACTTCATTTAATGTATTATTATTAACACAATGTGATATAAATAAACTGCATCTAGATAGTTCAGTGTTGTGAGTCAATTAAGATATATTTTATCTAGTCGTTTTGAGATTATAATGTGTACTTAATTTTCTTTTATTTACACTAATATATATATTATAGATATTTCTCGAATCATTCATCGTTGACCTCTATTGTAAATGTATTAGGGTTCGTTATTGCGGGCAATATCATTTGTATTAAAATATTAAATATACACTTAATGTGATGTTCTTCACGATGTATAGGATCTTATCAAGCTGTTTCAATGCCAAAGTTGTGAATCTCACTTTTGTGGAAATAAAAATGCAACAAACTGTATTACATAAGTTTCATTTCACATAAATACTTCTAAACCAACGAAAGTATCACCAACTATTTTGTAACGAGAGCTAAACATTTTAGCTACATACTAACAATGTCTTGATTATCAACATCTGACGTGTTACCAGTTCTGAGGGCTTAATGTGGGTTTACATCAAAAATGTCCTCACTGATGAGCGCAAAAAAAAATATATAAAAATTTTAGTTCTTGAAAGTTTCCGCTAGGGACGCTGTACAATCCGTCATACATTGAATGTCATTTTTTTACGCGCTCACTAGTGACGACGTTTGATGTAAACTCACACTAAACCCTCTGATGTTAGTTCTGACGAGGTTACTAGTTCTAATAGAAATCATAACAGCAATAAATTAAAACTCATTTATTTCACAATAAAATTACAGAAAATTGTATTAAAGAGAAATAATACTTCGCAGTTGTATTTCTAAGCACCATAACCGTAACCGTAACTTAGTCAAAACTCAATCCGGTCCCTTGGATGTGTTGGGCGGCCCACTCGTCAAATCTTCGAGACAAATCGTCGGACATGTAGTTCTTCCAGTCCCCGATTTCTCCTTTCCTGAAATGATATTTTAGACCAGGGGTTAGAGGAGGCGAAAAAACCTTTAAAGGGGAGCGTGGGCTATCTGTGTAGTTAAGTATAAAAAACCTGCGACCGCTGAGAGAATGCATTCCAGACTGCTCGATATGACCAATAAATAATCTGAACTGGAGGAGGGGGGGCGCGGAATTTTTTGTATGGTCGAAAGGGGCGCGTCTCTCATAAGTTAGGGAATCCCTGAGTGCTAAATCTCATAGTGATAATATAGATAGATACCTATTTAGTTAAATACGAGTATCTTATCTATGTTATCACTTAAGAAAATTATGAGCGTCAAAATTTACATTAGGTATTTTTCAAATAATCCCTATTTTCCCTGGTCACGGAATCATGAGTGAACGGCTGGACTGATTTCTCTAATACTTTTTTTTTGTTGTGTATGATTATTGTTAGGAGAAGGTTCTGATGTAAGAAAAGTAAACTTAACGGCCATATTAATTTTTTCTTAACACAGTATGTCTGTCGGGACAGTTAGCTAGTAAAAATAAAAAGGAAGCCCTTAATGCGGATAGTAGACCAAGTTTTCTATACTTGTACCTATGCAGACTGCAAACTATAGGTACATACACCATGGAAAACTGCGTTAGGTATACGGCTATCTTTAACTAAATTAGCTTAGCTTTTGGTCTGCAACTGGCATTATGGTGCTCTTTACATGTCTCTTTATCATTTAGAACCCACCTGATGAACCTGAGTTCTGTTTGCTCCAAGTATTCCTTCCCAAAAGACCTCTCAAGCAATGCATCCAGGTTAACAGCTCTGTTCTTCTTCATATTTTGGAAGGACAGGTAGTCGGAGAGCGTGTTGACCTGATCGTCGGTTATGGTCTTCCCAAGGAACTTGGCCGTCTTCCTGATGACCGCTGGCAAGTCTCGCTTCATCTCTTCAAATTTGATGAACAGGAGGTTTGGGTCATGGCGCCTGGACCAGAAACCTGTGAGCAATAAAATTATCTTCGTATTGAATATCTACAGCATAAATAAATATATTATTTAAACTACCAGTAGCATAGTATGCGAGTGANCGGAAAAAACGGTGCAAAAATCGTGTCTGTTTCTGTATATGTTGATAACAACTCAACACAGGCTATGCATGTGGTCATTTATTATTATTTGTCGGGTTAAATAAAAAAAAATATTAAGCCGCTTACCGAGTATAATGTTGTCGCATTCCACATATCGACTGCACTGTTACAAATGAAAAGATACGGCCTTCAGAAACTAGGCTTTATTCAACTTAATAAATGAGCTACATTTCTGTTAATTAAGATCAAGATATTTTCCACAAAGATGTCACTTGTATCATTCTTAAAGTACCATAGACAATTTGCAACAGAGGAGGTTCATATCATTCTCCCTCGCTATATTTCAATGTCCAGGTACACTTAAGTCATTATCACAAACGAAATCTTCTAGATAGCCTGGTCTTCTGCGAGCCCTGTGGGAACGCCGGCTTAGGTTTGCCTCTGGCTCTTCAGCAACACCAGTTTCTTGACCAAGTTCAGGCTGCTGAACAGATTCAGATTCCTGAACTATTTCATCCAAGTCTGATGGCTCTTCTTGACAGGAATCATCCTCTCCATCCGGTAAAGGAGCCAAATGTCTGTTTGAAACGGTGGTCTCTCTACCATCTTGTAATCTTATGNTATACCATGGACATTAGCAAAAACAAAAGAAAACTACGTGTAAAATGGGATTGAAAAAAACTGGTCCAAATTAGCGGACTCTCCCTTACTGACCCAGGAGGGTCTTCATTAATTTCTTCAAAAATTTAGTTAGAATAGGTATTCTATTGTACAAAATGCTTTAGATAATCGCATTAGGTAAGTAATATAAGTATCAACCAGTTTGGCCTAAATGTCCAGATAGGTAAAGTTCGCGAGCCGTCACACAGGTCTCTTACGAGTTACTATTTATGATGAAAGATAGCTTTCGCAAGCGTGTCTGGTTGACTGGCTTTAGAGATGTATTTTTATAAGGATGACCACTTTACAACTGCTGTCTGCTATTCAAGTTTTTAAAAGCTCCCTTTAGGCTATTTTAATTACCTATATTAAGAACGACTCGGTAATTTGACACCATTTTTTGCATTGCCTAAACTTAGATCGGGCTTCGGTGCAAAGAAGTAGTCAAGCGTTCGTCTCCATAGAATTCCTGAAAGTTTGTCAAATTCAACTGTTTTATTAAGCCTAGATCAAATAACAGCCCGCAGAACTGAATGAGAACTGCCTAGGTCGCATCAATATGGTAGTAGGCCAACAAAAAATAATCATAGATTCAGTAAAAATAACATGTGCCTTCATAAGTACATTCAGATAGTGTAGATTCATAGATTTTAAATGTCTGTACTGGTTTTACTAAATCTTAACTTGTACTAATATCAATTGGCATAGTACTTAGGTAGATTTATGTATAACAGTAGGTAGTATCGATCTATGTACCTATTCTAGATAGGCTATCCGATGTAGGTACGTACAAAATAAGTAAGAATAATATAAATATTATTATGCACATCATATACCTACAACTACATACAGTAATTGGAAGCAATTAGACTTATCAACTTCATAAAGATACACACGATAAAAAATCAGCTGAAAAGAAGAACGGTCACGCCCCATACAAAAAAAACCCATCTCCAGGTCACCTAGATACATTCCATAGCAGCTGTAATAGACATTTAGGTACATACATTTACCAATTTTGGTGATAAATAGGCATTTTGTATTAGTTTTTGTATAACGCCTGAACAAAAACAAAGGGTAATATTTTGGTGTTATACATAGATTTCGAATATAAAAAATATATAATTTAACTAATTAAGACATGACAAAAAAACTGAGGTATGTCTCGTTTCTGTCGGGTCTGGGTCACAGATGACCGTTCTTCTTTACACAGTAAGTTGTGTGTCACAAGCATTATAAAACTGAAAAATATTGCAGGGAGAGTCGCCATATAAATAGAAAAAGTTTCACCGTTTAAAATTGTATGAATGAACCACAATCATGAATGGATTGTGCGTTAACTGCGTTATAACAATAGATATCTCCTCTATTCTGTGCTATTTGGTGCAAGGCCATTGAGTGGACCAACTCACATGTGACGCGGCAATCCGCGGCATACGTTCATTTATTTGTCTTGAATATGACTTATTTTATTTGCTTCCATTACATATTATTATATACAAGTAATTCCTATTTGCTTACGGCATTAATAAATCATCGAACAAACATTAATAAATCATTCGAAGAGTCATACATTCAATTGTTTAGTTGATTCCATTTTATAAAATTAGATGCGGACATTTTGAGTAATAGAGTCATTAAAATTAATTGAATTACAGCGATTGATTTCAAACTTAAAACAATACCTACCTGAAATTTTCAGGTGCCCAACTCTTAGACAACATATGAGTAGGTATTACCTAAGTCTGACCGGATAACTTATACCTACGTTAATCAATAATCCCTGATTCTGACATTAACTAAAAGTTAGTTTCCGACAGTCGATTCTTTATCGTTGTAACCTAACTATATTACCTGTAAATTATGAAAGAAAAAAAGATTTCTAGCATAAAATAATTATTAATTATGGTATTAGTTCTGTAGAGTCATGAGATATAGTATAGGTCAGAAATTAACAAAATTTAAAATAAATGCCCATTTTCTATAAAATTACGGCACGGCCAGCCAAGAAAGTAAATAAAGCAGAAAAAAAAATAGGTATAGGTAGGTACTCAACTAGTTTAGGTGCACAACACCAAATATCACATATTCATTAGTTATACATACTCGTACTCGTACATAACTCCCTAACTGCATATTACTATTACCTACCTCCTATTACGTAGGTGGGAGAAGTTAAACTGCCAATGTCAATGAATACATAATTATGTGTACAGTATACATAATCATTACGTAAGAAGAACATTTTACTATGCGACTGAGATTCGATTAGACTGAGAGAAATTATAAAAATAGTAGGAAAAAACGTAACAAAACCTGTTTTAGAATTGCTATTTTTTGTTAGGATTACTAAGTAGTTTCTAAATATAACTTTAGAGTTTAGATTGAAAGAGTTGAACTGGAAGTAGAAGTTTTAAACCATTTTTATAAGAGAAAAATAAGATAGCGGATTCTTTGAGAACCTTTATGATAATTTAAAGTAAGTACGTAATTAACTTACATAATTCGCGCATAGAACCTGTCAGGACTTTTGTGTAGGTACGTTTTGTAGAGGTAGGTACTGTATTGTGAATAAGTCAAATGAAGATTTTCCTAATTTTTGGTTAATCAATCCATTTACACACTAATGCCCGTGTTCTACACTTTAGAACGTCACTACTTTTAGTATGGATATGTCATTTTAAAACAGTGTTCAACAACTGTATAACTTTTTATGAGTAAGGGGGCAAATTCGTTAAAACTAGAAGCGAATATTAGTAAGTATTTAAAACAATGTAAACGTAAGAATGTTCTGCAATTACTTTCGTTGGTAGAATCAGATAAGGTACATCATTAAAATATTTAAGATTCATACTTATTTAACTGATAATGTAAATTGTAGAGATAAACCTTGACGAATGACGATAACTAATACTTAATAGGTACCTACTGCAAATAGTAAGTAGTGTTTGTCGGTGAAAACTAACAAGAGGTATTACTTTCACTTAAAAAAAATGCATGCCATGCCATGGTCATTCATAGAACATAGAAGACTTATGTAAGATACCCTATAAGTATGCAAATTGCTCATTGCGAGACTCATACTCTAAGTTTCGTCAAACGCATAAACGGTGTGTTTTGATTTTGAATTTTTTTTTCAGTCTAAAGGAGAACTTCTTTAAAATCGCTTAAATCCTCGCACTACGACTGTGCGTTGATAAGAAGAAAAACATTATAGTTTGCGAATTACCTACGAGCTACGACGCAATATATTTTGACGCAGTAAATGTTGTAAAAATACATAAATGTTGTGATTTAATGATAAAAAAATCAAAAACAAAATTAAAAACATGAACTTGTATATATTCCGGGGTCAAACATTTGCTCATGTGATAGTGAACGAGTGTTTTATCTCTGAAATATTATAATCGTGTCAGTGGGACGTTAATAATAGTTCCAGAGGTCACCCCTAAGATTATAATTGGTAGTAGAAGGTATTTTTAAGCAACATAGATTAGACGTTTGTAGGAATCCGTACGTAAAAAAGTAGGCAACTAAGTACCTAGGTACTTAACTGATAACACTTAGTTGGTCTCGTTATGAAAGTATATTAGGTCTTTGGCTGTAAAAAAATCAATCCCAAAATACAGAAATTAATTCCTCATAATTTAGGTACTTGCCTGTACCACCTGTACTGAAACCTAAGTAATTAGAAATAAGTAATTCCGTTTATCCTAGAATGTTGCACATGTTAAGGAATAGGTAAATCCCAATTTATTGAAGATAACAATTGGCTGTGTCCCTAGCTGAACAATTATAAATAGTTTTTTAATTAATTATAATGTTTTTGGAGATAAAGGACAGAAAAAGAGATAAAAGCTCACTTGCATTTTAATTTAATAAATAAATCAGAATCTCAATGTGCACGACTGCCTCTTACTCTCTTACTTGACCGGTTTTTCGTTATTAAACAAATTCAACGTGCATGAGTGGTGCATGTTTCAACTGCATGCTAGTATTTGAGGTACCTACTTATTCATAATCTATATAGTATTTTTCACGTTACTATTTTATAATTGAGAGCAAAGTTTGAGGAGAATCGTTTATTATTGTAAAAAATATTAGATACCTACAAACAGCCGATAAGTGAACGTCTAGTTAGTGACGAAAACTTTGTTCACGTAGGTATTTTCAGTTGTTGATTACCTAAACTAACATTAACATCAAACAGGGTTTAAAAATATTATCTGGCTCTACTTTGTAAATAGAGTAATACCTCAATGTAGGTACACTATCTACATATTGACTGGTAGATGTAGATAGAAGAAAATGGTTACTATTTGTTTTACTTGTAGATAGGTAAGTATTTTCAACTTCTAAAGAACTAGCTGTGCCCGCGATTACGCGTAGATAATATTTTTAACCAAGGTAGATCAAGTTAAAAACGGGATTATTTCCAAAAAAACAAAAATTGTCGACAATTACAGCAAGAATTTACCAAGTGTTATACCATT